TGTGCTGTAATAACCAATTTTCCCTTTAAGGATTAATAAAAGTGTTTCCATTCCATTTCTATTCTATTCTATAATCCTGCTCGGTAGGTGGCGCCATACATTGACATATCTATGGGTGGCGCTGTTCACCAAAAAGTTGGTTTTGCAGCGCGACAAAAAACAAACCGAAGAAGAAGAAAAGCGGAAGCGGACGTGAGGCTTCCGGCAGGGATCAGGCAGCGATGGCGCACCGCCTGGCAGAGCTGGAGGCTCCTCTGGACGCTCACCAAGCCGGGGACCAGGGCAAGAATGTCCTGAGGCGCTGCAGAGGGAGACCCAGACTCACGGACTCTGACCGGGCACAGAGGCGTCTCCAGTCCCGGAAGAAGTACGACGTGAGGCGGGTTTACCTCGGAGAGGCGCACAAGCTGTGGAGCGAGCTCCGCCGGAGGACCAGTCTGAGTGATGCCGGGCTGGCTGAGTACCTGATCCTGCTCAACTCCACCTACGGAGAGAAGTACCAGCAGAAATACTGCGGGTACGAAGGGGGACGCTTCATCCGTCTCAGCTGACTTTACCCAACCAGAGAGTGTTTATCAGAGCTGCTGTGATGGTAGTAACTGTCTGATCTGTCAGACTGTTCCTGTGTTTAACCTGATTTATCCAACCTGTGTTTTGCAGGAAGAAGATTGCTCCAGAAGTGTCAGTAAAACAGAAAAGAGGTAAGCGGTGCCTCTCACAGATCAGTCGTGTGGGTTTGGGAGCTCGTTGTATTAAATCCATCACAAGTAGGACGCTTGTTCCGCTTTAAAGAGCTGATGTTTACTCATGTGATTTGAGAAACAGTCGACTGCAGCATGTCAGCATTTATGAACAGTAAAGATCTAGTTTGTTTACACCAAGACCGGATCGGCCACATGAAGCTGGTTATCGACTCCTTTAGTCAACTCAGGGTTTCTGGATGCAGCGTGTTCTCATATAGAGGGAGGATGTTGGCACCTGATAGCGAATCATGGACAAGTTTAGAGCTGCATGTTTCTCACAAGAACAACAAACTGTGATCCTAAACTGATACGAGGAGTTTAAAATGTAAAACTAGGCTTAAAACAGCACAACAGCTGCAGCCA